TTTACCAATATAGTACACATTTTGCACACGAACATTATTATTCATACATTGCGTACAGCCTGTTATCTTCGTCTGATGTTTTTTGCTGCTCCAATATTTTAATTGTATTTTGTTACGTATCTTACTCATATCTTGAGATACTGTTGGATCAATTTGATTATATAAAAAGTATTTTTTTAATAGTTTCGCTGCATCAAGTGCTTGTTTGATGCTTGGTGGAGGGACAGGATCGTCTTCTTCAACAACATACACAGCTGCAGTTCTTATCTATTTCGGCAACTTAGAAAGTACTGCTGAATGATTTATAATGCCGCATTGTTGTCGTTAAATAGAGTGAGCGTGACGCTATATAGAGTGTAATATTGTACAGAAAACAATGAAAACCAACCAAAGTTAAGCAATTTCGACGTTTTAAGGAGTTTGTCGTTAAATCGACTGACGTTATAAAGAGTCTACACTGTACTTAAAAATTGGGTCATATTATTAGTGATGAGTACAGTAAGACCAAGATCAACACTGTACCAGTCTTGGTGTTGGTCGTGATCTTGCATATTCGATCTTTGTCTTGGTCTTGCTCGTTTTTTTTTTCAATAATTCATCTGAGCACAAATTTTTCTATTTACCGACACAATAATTGTCTTAAATGTTAAAATTTTCTGTCATACATGCGACCTTGTCATGACTTCGAAGAAAATAGTGTCGATGGTTGTGAGAGTTATGAAAACTCGAAAACATACCCTTCCTCCAAGCATAAATTGGCCTATTAGCGAAAAAAATAGTACAAAGTACTTGCGAGAAGTAAAAAATATCGAAAAAAGATTAGTTTGCCTCTAATATATTTCAACCATATGTTATCCAGACATAGGAACAAAACGCTTACTCGGGGGATATTCTTGTGGATTCCTTTTTTCGAATAGTGGNATAGTACAAAGTACTTGCGAGAAGTAAAAAATATCGAAAAAAGATTAGTTTGCCTCTAATATATTTCAACCATATGTTATCCAGACATAGGAACAAAACGCTTACTCGGGGGATATTCTTGTGGATTCCTTTTTTCGAATAGTGGTAAACAGTAAGTTTCTTTTTGTTATATTCAGTTTTAAAATCTAGTAAGGCAAACTAAAAAATTTCAAATATTCAAAATCTTTTGTTCGAAGAAAAAATATATTAAAGCTTCAAATGGTTTAACTCATAAATCCTTTGGAAGTAATAATTTTTCGTTTAGTCTTGCGTATTCGGTATTGATCTTATTCATACAGTCTTGGTTTTAGTCTTGATCTTCTTCGTTCGGTCTTGGTCATGCATTTTATCATGACTTCATGACTAAGATCAAGACTACAAGACCAAGATCAATTTTGTTCATTACTAATTTGTTTAATCTTCACAATAAGTCAAAAAAAGTGTCAAAATAGTGGTATAAAAGAAAAACAATAAATTGCAAATAAATAAAACAAAATAATTCGATCTTTTTGGATCTCATCAGCGCGTCGCAGGCAGCTCCGACAGAACACAGACCAACCTTTACCTGCTGTCTTAACAGCGCGTTTTAGAAAATACTACAAATGGCGTGGTGAGCGCCATCTGTAGTACGATGCTACATTTGAGGATTACATATGTTCCAACAAGGTCCATTTAAAAATATGGATATCTACTTGCTGAAACGAATCCCGGCGTAGCTCACCTCAACGTAACGCGCTGTTAAGACAGCAGGTAAAGGTTGGTCTGTGTTCTGTCGGAGCTGCCTGCGACGCGCTGATGAGATCCAAAAAGATCGAAATCGCGATCCGCGTCCGGCAGTTTCGACGGAACACAGACCACTTCGAATTATTTTGTTCGATTATGGTAACGTGCCTATCACGTTGAGGTGAGCTACGCCGGGATTCGTTTCAGCAAGTAGATATCCATATTTTTAAATGGACCTTGTTGGAACATATGTAATCCTCAAATGTAGCATCGTACTACAGATGGCGCTCACCACGCCATTTGTAGTATTTTCTGCAAATAAATAACTTCTGTTTCAGAAAGTATAGAATGTAAACGACGCTTACTTAAAAGCTGAAAATTGCTATCTCCAAAAGTTAAAAGCATTTGAGATATGATAATATTGGGCGTTCAAAATATTCCTACAGAGAAGGTAAGAGAATAAATATCACCATGGAAGTCAATAAGAAATAAACTTGTTCGTTCGGTCTTGGTTTTAGTCCTAGTCTTGTCTTGTCAATACTTATTATTTAAATATGGCGTATAATATTCGCCTTCAATTTCTAGCATATTTTCCAATACGGATGCACCTACATCCTTCTTTTCTTTTTTATTTGTTTTTGGACACTTTATTAATTTTCGTTCAAAATACTTACTATCATAATTAATTCATTATAAAGACAGCAACAAAAGCAAGCATTTGATTTTAAATTTTATAATTTCACATTCTGTATTTCAAAATTGTATACATGAATCAATTTTTTTCATGTTTCTGCTCATATTGGCGTCACTTCCGGGTACTACTTTTACAATTCCATGACTTACTTATTTTAAATTCAATTTACGATATTAGGAAGCGTTTTACTATTATTTAATTTTTATAGCTGTAACACTGAATATTAATTAATGATACTGATGAATTACAGGATGCAAAACAAATACATAAAAATAATTTGTTTGTCATTATAGACTGATATACGCCCCATATGCATCACGATTAGGTTTCATGTACAATTAGTTTGTTGATTAATTTAAAATGGTGCAGAAGTTGATATATTTGCCAAAATTAGATTATACATTACATGCATGTACACCATGGAATTATAATCAAAATTATTTGACCCATTTATTACAAACTTATTATAGTAGGGTAAGAGTAGAAGTAAGAAATATCTATATCAGGCCCAATTATTTAAGAACTATCTACAACATTGGTGATCTAACTTGTTGATAAAGTACGCCTTGATATAGGTATTGAATTGTTTTGTTTTTGAGGACACATCTCGTATATCCTCAAACAGAAACTTTTTTTAGATATTTACTAGATAAAATAACATAATATGAATTTCATCTCGCCGAATAAACCGGTTAAAAATCATAAACTCAAACTATCAATAAAAAGTTTTCCAATTGTTTTTATGCTGATGCATGAATCTTCGCAACACTTGTTTCTGCTATAGATGTTTGTATCTTCTTCTAGTCAAGGTTATCTCGATAGACAGATGATAAAAACAATCGCTCTCTACAACGACGAAGACACTATTTAAGCGTGTGAAACAATTGTTTAAAGTATGAACGCATAAACAACTTTGCTATTCGGTAGAACAAAACCGAAGTACAATAATTACGTTAAATGTTACGTATAGATATAAACAAATTAAATTACTGCGGTTAATTACTGGTGCTATTTTTAATTTAATTTAACATATATGAAGAACTCATAAGCACACATGCGAATTAATAATAAATTATCAGAGAACGTGGACCAAATAAATTATCAAATCAACAACTGTTTTTTCGTTGGATGTTTCGCCAGTGATTTAATGGGGAAATTGGAATTTTAAGCAAAAAAAACAGTATTATTGATTCACTAATTTATTATTGATTTAAATAATTGATGGTTGTAGCAACTACCCAGTCATCGCAAAAAATAAGCCAATGACAATAACTTACCTCTCTTTTACATACTGCAACAAATCCCCTAGAAATGTCCACATGAAAACCACCTACTTTTACTCACTGACACTACTACACGATGACCTTTCCTTGTGCCCACAAAGCGGATACTGACTACATATGCTTTCTCTCTCACACGTATAGGGACGCGTCGTTGGCAAATTCAGAAGATAAACAAAAATTGAAATAATGCGAGTGCATGTTAAACAAGTATTTATTTATTTATAATTAGGCAATTTGATACTGCTTCACATGGTGAAAACCTTAAAAACAGATCCTAAAAACTACATCAACGAAAAGACAAAAACACATCTACGTGAATAAATTAAATTTACAAAAAAAAAGAAACTATAATAAAATTTTATAAATATGTATAATGGGGTACGGGTAGGGTGATATAATAAAATTGGGTTGTGACTATTATAATCGCCACGATCACATGAAAGAAGCTCTTTATATTCATGGCTTAAAGATCGATAACTTATAAATAAACTTGAGTAAAACAAAGCTGATAAGGTAGAAATGTTTTAAAAGACAGGTCTAGTCCCAATTCGACATCATTTTTGAAAATGCTTCGTATATTCATGAATGAAGAAAGACCCAGGTATATGCAGTTAGAGTTACTCTGCCATTTTTTTGATATTTAGTCATCTGTTTACTTTCAATTTATTCAGTGTCTAGTTGTAAGTATGTTAGTCACAATTCTTATTATTGTTTAAATAATAAGAGTTGTTCTCATTCCATCTTATCCGAATTGTCTTAATATGTGTTGTTCTCGCAGTAACCAGATGCATCGTTATAAGCGGTTGGTGGTATTTCGAAAATATTAGACAAAAACGGTAAATATTAATTGGTTAATTATTCTTTGTTCAGGTTTCTTTTGCGGTCATTTTTACCAACATTTGTAGATTTTTCTTTAGCAGTTTAAAAATGTGAAATATCAAAATAAAATATTGACAATATTAAACTGTTTATTCAATTTTTATACCAAATATTTTTATGCTTTTAAGTCCTATCCCCAGCTAAATTTATAACCCTCGACGTCTTCGACTATGACGTATCTCTACTTGTGAAGAGTAACAGATCATTAAGCCATTAAAATAAAGACGTTACTATGTACGATTGTGGCGACTATACACATGTATATTTACTTAATGGATAATCAGTAGCAGTTCGCAATGTTCGTTTATTTTTACTAGGAACTTTTTTCCAAGTACTGAATAGAAGAGGAGAATCAGGGACGAAACATTCTACAAGCAGTAGATTGTTTTTATCGAAATATTAACAGGAGGTTAGTGCTGTTGATATAAGAACAGCGATAGTTTTTCAGACCAGCCCTCTCACTAATGTTATGCCATTCCTTCTAGATATCCATTTCTGTTGCTCATTACCGATCCATAACTGTGACTGTACTTTCCAAGTCGGAGACCGGCGTCTACGTCGCGTTTGGGCCACGCTTGGCTCTTGTAGCTGTTGCACGCTATCAGACTGTTCATGCCCGCGGGACGACTTTTTTCTATTGATATGCCATTGCCCACGCTTCTAATGCTGAAACACAACACTATTTTGTTTTATCCTTGTTAGTTATCTGCAGAGTTTTCCGTAGGCAACCAACATACCATCTACTGGTAGATATAAATAGTGAATGAATACCACTAGGACCTCTAAAAGCTGTTCAAATCTCGATAATTAAAAGCAAAAGTCTCTAATGTCTTAAAAAAGTTGCTGTTCTCTTTCCTAGGACCCTCCATTATTTAAAATATGTAACGTACTAGTGTTGAATTTAGCCCTTAACGCATAGCACTTTACATTTTCCAGTCCTACCCTCAGTATATAGAATTTTACATCCACTAATTAAGATAAGATCCTCTTTCATCATAATCTAATTGAAGCCAAACGCCAAAGAAAACCTTTCCTACCAAACCCACCCTAGATCCCTAGTACATAGCAGTTTATAAACACAAATCAGAAAACTCCCTAGTACATAGCACTTCACACATGCCAAAGAATGCTTCTCCGCCACAACATATCCTAAATCCTTAGTGGACAACACTATATATACTAATCAGAAAATCCTCTCTCACCATAATCTAACTGAAGTCCATAGTGCATAACACTTCATGCATGACAAAGAAAATCTTTTCCATGATAACTTACTCAAAATCCTTAGTACATAGGCACTTCATACATCTCAAAGGAAACCACTCCCACCATAATCTACCCAAAATCCTTAGTGCGCAGCACTTTATATATACAAATCAGAAAATCCTCTCTCACCATAATTTAACTGAAGTCCATAGTGCATAACACTTCATGAGTGTCAAAGGAAACCTTTCCCATGCTAACATACTCCAAATCCTTAGTACATAGCACTTCATACATGCCAAAGGAAACCGCTCCCACCATAATCTACCCTAAATCCTCAATGCATAGCACTTTATATATACCAATCAGAAAATCCTCTCTAATCATAATCTAACTAAAGTCTATAGTGCGTAACAATTCACGAATGTCAAAGAAAACATTTTCCGTGATAGCCTACACTTAATGCTTAGAACTAACAACATACTGAAAGAAACCAATCCCACCATAATCTACCCTAAATACTTAGTGCATGGCACTTTATACGTATATGCCACTCAGAAAAACCTCTCTACTACAATCTAACTTAAACCAATAGTATATAACACTTCACACAAATCAAAGGAATCTTTTCCTTCCGTAACCTACATAAAATCCTTAGTACATAGCACTTTATACCAATCAGAATCTAAACGAAGTTCATTGCGACTAGCACTTCACACATGCTAAGGGAAACTTTTCCCACTTAAACCTACAGTAATATATTAGTGAATAGCACTTCACGCATGTCAAAAAATACCTTTCTCAACATAAGCTTAACATACGTCAATAAGGAGATCCACTCATTATAATCTAACTGAAGCCTATAACGCATAACACTTCACACATGTTTAATAGCCTAAGCAAAAATGTTTCATGCACATCATCATCATCATCATCATCATATGGTTGTCAGTCCTAAGACTGGTTGGACACGCACCTCCACTGTTTCTTATCCTGAGCATTTCTCTAAAACTAGAACAACCCATATCCTTAACTATCTGCGAACAGTAATCTAATCTAGGTCTACCTCTACCCCTCCTAAGTCCCGTTTCTGCCTGTAATATGTCTCTGACTAGACCTTTAAGCCTGAGAAGGTGTCCTACCAACCTATCTCACCTATTTTTTATTGACTTCCATAGAGTTCTCTGTTCTCCTATTATTTTTAATACCTCTTCATTCCTAGCCTTTGCTATCCACGTTATGCTCACCATTCGCCTATAACACCACATTTCGAACGCTTCTAACCTTTTCTTTTCCGCCGCGCCTACTGTCCATGTTTCGTACCCGTACAACGCCGCGCTCCAAACATACACCTTTAACAACCTTTTTCGAATTTCATGCACAATCGAAAAAAAAAATAGTCAAGAAAATTCGCTATACTAACAAGAAGGATTCTGAATTTAAGCTATAAGTAACTATATTTCTGACCACGATTTTTATTTATTTCTTTTTCTTACCTCTTTGCGCTTTCTGTGAGCCCCGAATACGAAAGCTTGTTCACGGTGGTTGAAACATCACCATTGGGAATCTTCTCATCTTTAAGTTCGGCATAAGCCGGTAACGGTTTGTTGCAGAATAAATATACAGTTACAAAAACGGCAAGGAAGGCATGTAAAGCAAAAATGAACATACTCCCATTTCGGAATCCAACGTTATCATAAAGTATACCGCTTATTGACGGTCCAATGAATGCTCCCAAAGCAAACGAGCTAGTCCAAAGAGCAGATATTAACGCGAAGGTTTCCAAATTGTTGTGAAAACCATATGCCCTGATAAAAGAACAAAACAAAAACATGAATCACAAGATCACGCGACAATTATTTGGATTAAAAGTTCAGGAAATAGTTATTAATAGATAATCTATTACACAATATTTAAATAAAACTATAATAATAAAAGTCACGCTGTTACGCTATACTTTTGTCTATCGATTATCCAGAATTTTACTCTTTGAAAATATTTTATAAAGATAAACGTATTAAAAAATAAAACACAACTAAAACTCAACATCAGGTTGATGTGGTGGACAGTCAAATTTTCTTATTTACGGTTGAAGCCTTTAATTAGGGAAATGCTATTAATAAACCAAAGGAGTAAATTCCCCCTTTAACAATTACATTCGTTATATCCGAATTTTAGAATTTATAAAGAGCCAAATTGGCATCACTGAAACCATATTTGCTGCTACAACAGAAGACATTACGTATGTATACGAAGGTTTTTATATAGATTAACGTACAGCATCATCAACATTATAAACTTTCATCGTAAAACGTGTCAGTTATAAAATTTAAAATTTTAATTTATACAATTCTTTATGTTTAATTCTTACCAAGTTTAATTAACTAGTCAAAACAATCTTAAGCAAACTAGTTGGATCAAAGAAGATGCAACCAACTTTATGTTTATGTTTATAAGTTTGACAGTCAGTTAGATGAGTTGATAGCTTGAAAAAGTCTCAAAAAATAGAGACGAAACGTCGAGAGTCAATAATGACCTAATTGGTTTTTCAATTTTGTTTTCCGAATACCCATGATCCTGTACAATTATTATAAACTTCCGTCGTTATAAGCGAAGTGACACTATAAACGGCTGGCGATTTACTTAATGTCTGAATTACAAAAAGTCACTTACACACTTGTTCTTAGAGCGTCTGTAAACGACGCAACCAGTTGAGCAGCCATTCCAAGTCCGTGAAGAATAAGTCCCAGAATCGTGACCCATAACATCCTGCGACAAACAATTGAATCATTGTAACTCAAATCCAAACGAGTAAGGGAAAATAAAATTGACTTACGTTTCACAAGGTATGAACGGAGCTGGCCCAACAAGGGAAAATCCTGCACAAACGAAGCATGCTCCTATTACAGTAATTACTTTCGGCGCGCATACTTTATCACAAAACCATCCGAACCCGGGGGCTGTTATTGCGTATGTGCCTCCGTTTATAATGAACATGAGTCCTAATACTACGGGAGATAAGTTGAACTGGCGAAGGTGAGGCTCGAGGGTGGCTTGCAGAAAGCCAATCGACATACTGGTAACTACTATGCTAAAGGTTGCCAGAAGAACGCCGGGAATCTTCAAAACTTTGAATATCGATGCTAAAAACAAACGAATAACGCATACTATAACATGTAAAATATTGTCACTGTTACTGAAGAAAATATTGAAACTTGAAACAGAATAAGTTTTTATTTAAATATCTAATTGTAAGTTAAATTTGCTTTTCCGTGACTAACTCAGGAATTGTATGTTACAGCGCTTTTATTCATTAATTTTGCCGATTTTGGATTATTAAGTCACAATTGTAAATCTTTTACTTTATTATTTATTACTGTAATAATAAATCTACTAACCCGTACAACTACCACAATGAAAAGAAAGATACCCTTGTCTTTCTCGGCTAGTCGCAGGTACTTTATAAAGTTTGTGCATATTTCTCTTTATTTAAACAGGTTATAGGGTTGGTCTCTATTTTTTCACTTGTCAACGCTACTGTAATTTATTTATGATTCATAAAACAATCCATAATATTGTAATAAAAGTGAGACAAACTCTACAAACTGTTTAAATAGAGAGAAAGATGCATAAATTTTATAAAGTACTAGCTAACTAAGTGTTCGTTACCTGCGACTAGCCGAGAGAGATAAGGGTATCTTTCTCTTTCTTGTGTAAATAATAAAGTAAAAGATTTACAATTTTCAAAATCCAAAACCAACAAAATTAAACTGAAGCGACTATATATCTATCAATGTGTGTTAATGAATGTAGACCAACGACAATAGACGCAAATTATAAGGTTTTCGAAATAATAGAATCCTATTACAGTCAAATATTTTTTCCTTGCCCCATAGAATGTAATGTCTTTGTAAAAGTTTCTCCAAATGCAATAAAAAGTGTTTTTGAACCTTTCCAAACAAAATTATCTAAAATCTTAGGGGGCAAGTACTTTGAGAATATTGCATTGATTTTTTAGTAATTGTAGGTCAAATTTAGCGAATGGTTACGGAATCCTTTTATTTAATATATCAAAAGTTTAGTCTTCATAAAACTGTCTAAAAAATTAACAGATAACAAAAATGAAATGCCTTGTACGTATTATCGTATTATCAATAGGTATTATTACATTTGAGGAAATTTTTCTGATCGTATTGAAATTGTTTTAAAGAACATGAAAACTTACGTCCAGTTTCTCTGTCTTCACCGGGTTCGCTGTGACTAGGTAAAACAACTGCTGTAAAAATAGCAGCCATAAACAGTACAGTGCCCATAACAGCAAAAGGCATTGTATATCCTCCAATTTGAAACAATGCTCCACCAACCGTTGGGCCAACTATTAAACCCAATCCAAAGAAGGTTTCCAAGGAGGCCTAACAAAATTGATAAATGCATACTTAATTTAGGTTTTCATTATTTTATAAATATTTTATTCACTTTGTTTCTTATTCACACTTTTGTAAAATGAAGTACAGCCATACACAAACCTTAACTATTTTTAAATAAATTTACTACACGAACATTCTTATAGTAGATATAAAATAAAGTCAAAATAAATTAATAGCACACACATATACATATGGAAATACTTGGAGATAGATAAGATTTTAATTTTCCTTTGGAAAACTAACTGCAGCTCCTAAAGTTTTATATATTGTACACATCAAAATTCTATGAGTTTTATAGAAAACAGCGTATAATATGTCAGTGTCAACATAATTTATTCAAATTATTTATTGTTAAATTGTTTTTTATTTAACAAATCATTAAATGTATGCTGTATGCACTATAGGTTCTTCCTAAGTTATTTGTCAATCATTCTAGATCTCGTCAGCACGCCACAGGCAGTCTCGATAAATCAAATACTAAATCAAAGGAGCTCTTTAAATGCAAGTTGATATAATTTCTAGTTAGTATCAGTGAATGTCATAACTAGACATTAAATGTACCTACACTTATGTAATTGGAATGAAACAATGAATATAAAGTAAGTACCTACATAATATTTTATACATTATAAATTTAAATAAAAATTACTCGCGATTTAACTGAACAAACTGAAATTGTTTTAAATGAAAAACAAAATCGAATTAAGTAGTTACTTCGTAGTATGTATCCAGATTATTATTAGTTTTGCAAATGATATCTACAAAGGAAGTATTATTTACAGGATAATATTCGATCTTATTCTTAGGTTCTTTGTGTAACTAATGATATGATGAATGGCAATGGGACAATATGCCATGAACTCTTATTGGGTACAATTTGTGTGTTGTGTAAGTATATAAACCAATATTTGACAATGTTAAGCAGTAATACAAATATATTGCATAAATAATTAATATAGTAACAATCAATGCTGCAAAACTTTTTTTATTTACTTTAAAATTGCCACATTGGGCCTCCTTATTTTGCACTTTGACAAAACAGCAAATAGATTCTATTGGCTCTTACACAAAGAACTTCAAAAGTTGTATATTTGAATACTTAATTATTTTTTCATTGCAAAAATCCAAGTTAAAAGAGTAGTGATAAACTAAGGACCAAGCACGGGGATGTTCTATTACTTGCCATCATAAACGGTTTATTTTCATTTATTCATTTTTAAAGAGAAATGCATTCAGCTGTCTTTTAATGTGAATGTTAAAGTAATATACATAAGTCCATTAAATGTAAATTAAAGTATTTGAGGGGTGATTTTGGAGGTGATATTTTCAGATAGACGTGAATGAAGAGATGCCAGAAACGAACATAATAAAAATTAGACTATACAGAAGGGTTAATGGATTATAGCTTACTTGCGATTAGACATAAACTTGTTTTTTATTTAGCTTACTCGAAGATAATTTCTAAGGGTGACCAAAACCAGATTAGAATTAGCCTTTTTTTTCAACTGATGGTCGTAAGCAATAGTATTGTAGTAGTATTGCAATTATTGTTTACTGCATTGCTAAATTTAAAATCTAGCTCAAGTTTAAATAAAATGTTTTGATTGCATTTTAATTAATAATTGCCCTTGAATTATGAACTTTTATGTGGAACAAATTGGGATTACGTATATCGATACTTCCAACAATTATTAAGTATAAATACAATTATTTAAACATTACGCGGTGTAACAATTGTTATTGTTTAATAAATTTAAAATAAGGAAACACAGGGATGTTGTCAAAAAGATATATTGTTTCAACAGAATCTTTTCGACATATATATCGGCATTTATGTTAAAGTTTAAGAGTATATAGAAACAACCTTTTACACAAAATTGTGATAGAAGGAGAAGACATCAGAATATAATATTAAAGTTTATATGCACCACCTCTACATTCCCTTACAGTCCAGTATACATAAATAATAGAAAGAAGAATATAGAAAAGGTAGAAGCGTTCGAAAAGTGGTGTTACAGGCGAATGATGAGAATATCGTGGATAGAGAAGGTTAGAAATGAAGAGATATTAGAAAGAGAACAGAGGACTCTATGGAAGTCAATAAGAAATAGGCGAGATAGGTTGGTAGGACACCTTCTCAGACATGAAGTTCTAGTCAGAGACATATAAGAGGCAGAAACGGGAGTCAGGAGGGGTAGGGGTAGATCTACATTAGATTACTGTTCGCAAATAGTTAAGGATATGGGTTGTTCTAGTTTTAACGAAATGCAAAGACTAGCTCAGGATAGCAAAAAATGGAGGTGCGTGTCCAACTAGTCTTAGGACTGGCGACCTTATGATGATGATGAAGTATCTCAAGCCTTCAGCGCACTGTTTGCCAGTACTGTACTTTAAATCTGTTCAGAAATTTGAGCCTATTAAAACTAGTATAATTTAGTAGAGACAACGCGTTTTTGTTTTGACCACCAATTTTGACCTAATAGAAACAACGATAACAGTTAGAATGTGCAGCAGTTTGGATATCAGTGGCAGTACGCAAGAATATGATATTAAACCTCGTCTATTCACAAAACGTCCTCCTGACATACATTGGCAAGTATGGGTCCTTCCGGTAGGACCTCTCTCTGTCCAAAAGCACTTGCTGAAGCGCAGCATTTTCAGGAAACGTTTTTATAGAATTTGAATTTTTGCTTTTAAAAAGGAGGTATACTGACTTATATATAGAATTGTTCTGATTCATGACAATACCGGTCGTCGTAATTCTGGTGTAATAAAACGGCACTCTAAACAATTTTAATGAGTCATGGGTCAGAACAATTCCAGATGAAGTTTTCTTCTTTTTTTTTTGTCTTGAATTATTTTCCGAGTGATTTCCATTTTTTCCCTGTTTCCTCCGCTCTCAAACTAACAAAAAACTTCGAGACAACGTTAAAACTCGTTTAATTTCATTAGTGGTAAAATTTTATGAAGAAGGTATTGGAAACAACTTATAATCTTTTACTTATGGTCTATCACAAGTTATATAATTCAAGCTGATTGTCAGTAATATTTATTTTTATTATTATTTTAGAGAAGTTTTAAATCTTCCCAATTAATAAACGTTATTGTTATCAATCATAGAAAGACATTAATCAAAATAGTACTACGTCGTTCGTAAAGAAGTCACGCGAAATATCAGTTTTACTCACAAACTTCAGATAAAGTCTCCTAAAGTTTACGTTTTTAAGTAAATTAAGCCGATAATTAAGTTATTACGACAGTTGACCTCCTTAGAATAACTTGATGTGAGAATTATCGTGGCCAATTGACCATCATGACAAACGAAATGATTAGGCGACAACGGCTGATAAGGTAAAATTTTGGTAACACAAATATTGTCTGTGCAACAACTACAAAATGGTCAAACGTCACTGATAAAATTTTCACTATAAATAACAAAGAGAATAACAAAATTTCATAGTACCTTGTAACAGGTCTAGACATATAATTTTATATTTGCGATAACGGTAAAATTATTTAAAGCGATAAAACTTAATTAGAGGTCATACACGGATGACATGAATTTTTAATTGAAAGTCACATAAATATAAGGGAATTTCACTGATTCCCTATCTGATATAAGAATTATTAGGTCGCGTCTGAATTTTGAAATCGAAATTTCAACGTGCTAGAGTTCTTCTAGGTCCACGTTTTAGTGCGCCATTGAAGAATACAACGAAAATGAATAATTTTTCCTTAGAAAAGAGGAGGGAACTCGAAAATGACTAACAGAAGAGGTTGAAATAAAAAGCACAAAGAGGCTACTCATTTTTCTATGAATTTTTCGTAGTCGAACTCAAATCAGGCTTCAGAATTACCTTACAATATTGAAACTTTAAGATATCTTAATCTGAAATCCAAAAAAATAAATCAACAACGGTTAAATTTTTGACGTAACAATATTTCAAAATCTTGATGTGCCAAGGTGATTATGATGCCAGGTTCTAATTCAGTTATAAAAGATGCATCGGAAATTGCAATTTTTGAATTGGAAGATGCAAAATTTTCAACGTGCTGAAGCACTTCCTCAGGAGTCAGCGTCCCAAATTGCATCATAAATATGTTTTATTCGCTTTTAAATACCGATTTCATTGTCGTTTGTAATTATCAAATAATTAACGTGTCCAATGAAAGATACGTGCTGAGTTTACCATTTTTGACACAAAAAGGCTTTATTAAAAAGAAGATGTAATGAAATTTCCTCACACCTACGGAATTTGGAGCCAGTTTAGATCCAAAAAATATTGGTTTATGCGGGATGAATATCATCTATTTAACTTTCGGCTAATTTAGGTATTTACAATAGTAGAACCAGTCTATCTCAATAACTAATAGTTTACTGGAGTTACTAAGATAATAATTTTGGTATAGAATAAAGGATTTACAGTTCAAAAATACTTACAAACGTCGTTGCAACGTTGTCTGGAAACTCTTTTGCGATGATAGCGAATGATGCTGTAAGAAACGCCGCATTTCCTAAAGCCTCAATAATTCTTATAATGAAGCTTAGTGCGATGAAGGGGTAGTGACCATCAACTTTGTCCAGAAGTCTAGAAAAGTATATTTATGTACTTATTATCTGTTATTTATATTTATTACATAACGATTTACTTTTTGAACCTTCCAGAATTTGAATAGACACTAAACTGATAACATATTTGTAAATGTTCGTATAACTTGTGAGTGATAAGGCATTGAAAAGTTTTATTTTGTATTTCTGAGACAATTAAAAACGAATGCAAGTTCAAATTAGGTCAAAAGTCTAGTAATGTATTCTTCTTATTATTATTGAAGTTATATTAAATATACTGGCATCACTTTATTTCTATTGGGTTTATTAAAATCTAGAGTGACGTCAAGGGAAATAAAAATAAATAAGTTTATCAAAAAAATTAAGATTAAGAAAAATACGTAAATAAACTGTTTGTTTCAATTATTATTGTAATTACACTTGTTTTGATTGATTTCTACGGGACTAAGTCCCTCTTTTGAATTAAATGTCAGGATATTATATTATAACCCTCGACAAAAAGTCTCTCAGAGTCTTTCAGCGTCTCTTAGAGCGTCTCTCACAGTCTTTCACAGTCTCTCAGTTATTGCCTAGCTGTTTTTATGGATCTCTCACAGTCTCTGTATGAGAGACTCGAACGATAAAATTGTTAATTCAGAAATTCGAGTCTTTCACAGAGAGACTGAATGAATAAATCTGAAAAATTGAGAGACTCGAGTCTCTCGTAGAAAGACTGAAATCTTTGAAATATTTTAACCATGTCTATCGAGACACCACTTATTGAGAGACTCGAGTCTCTCGTTCAGAGATTCGAGTCTCTCGTTCAGAGATTCGAGTCTCTCGTTCTGAGACTGGATTTGAAATGAGGATCTCTCTATGAGCGACTCGAGTCTCTCGTTCAGAGACGCTAAACAGGTTTTTTGACAGCGACACCAGAGAGACTCGATGAGAGACGGAGACTCGAGTCTCGTTTTCAGAGACTTTGAGAGACTGAGCATTTTTATCTCGGGAAGACAGAGGGCAAATTGTTATGTTTCAAAATCCTGAAAATATAAAAAGCTAATTTTGATTTTTTTTGTTAATTTTTATTTTTGATTAATAAAGATGCTTTCTTTCCAATTTTGAGAATCCCTCAAAAATGTTATGATAATAACAACGAAAATGTTTAGATAGAGTAAGTTTTTTTCCGGAGAGAAATTTATTTACTGGTTAATACTGACCCAAAAAGTATAGCACAAATTCCTGTGGTGTAAATACCCCCATTAAAGGTTATTTTGGGGCCTATTTTGTTTAAATGTTGCCCGTACAACGGACTGACTAGAAATACGACTAGTTCGAATATTCCAAATACTAATCCATATTCAGTGGCTGTGCACCCTTTTCTTTCGGCCTGAAAAGAAAGAAACATTTTTTTTTTAATTTTAAGTCCTTTTTTAGAACAAACAAAATAGGTCAAAACACGACACTGTAGTTGTCTGAAGGGCAGAAGTTAACCTAGTTACCGAAAAGTGCTTCGGACAATTACAGTGTCGTGTTTTGGCGTTGGGGTTTGAGCTATTTTGTTTGTTCTACAACAACCGCCAAAGTTTTTCCAATCTTCATATTTAAGTCCTTTACTAATCTTCGCCCAAGTGGCAAACAATAGGTAACTAGATACGTTCATAAAAAATGTTTTAAAGTATGACAGTTTAAGAAAAGACTAAAAAAAGACAAAATATTAGATATATGTAAATCGTAAACATATATTTTTGTTCAACCACTACTTCAATTACTTTTATTTATACTGAAGGTCTCAATGTAAGTCCAGTTTAATGAAGAAAATCGATTGAGAGTTCTGTAAATTTTAATGTTGTGTGGATCCGAAAAAAGGCGCCCGGCATATCGCAAAAATTACTTCATCATAAACATCATTATCTAAGTTAGTGCTGTTGTTATTATAAATGATAATTGGGTTATTTGTGAAATGCCAATTTTATGCATCATGAAAATGTAAACATTCTCATAACTTATACTATATATCTTCGATAAATAATTCTTTTCTAATTAATTTCATATGAGAATCTACTGATACCACAATATTTTTTATTTTACTAATAATTCTCCAGCCTTTCCGACCTTTATCGCCAATTATTTCCTTTTGGCCGAACTTTGTAACAAACTACAATTAATTTCGCAACCGATTTATTGGAATACGTAATAATAAACTTAGTGCAACCGATAGAACAAATACTTCATTAATTAATTTCGTACGTATAAAATGAATGAAAATGGAAACAATGATTCGTTTATGCCAAAGATAATCCAATTCACTACTTCGTAGCAGCTTGCAGTTTTTATCAATCATATAATATTGTATTTAGCGGAAGAAACTAATGAATGAAATAATATTAATCTTCTCTGAACAGAGAACGAAGCTGCTGTCTTAAATTTTTAAAGTACCTACTTCTTGAATTTGCTAATTAGTAAATTTATCGTTGGCAACCGAAAAATTAATATCTTAGATTATCTGAAATACACATTAGACATTACTATTGTAAAAGTTTGTAAAACGTATAAACAAAATTAGTACATTGTATTAAATATGAATACATGTTAATACATTTTTATATACGTATAATTATTGCATTACTAAAAGAAACTGCTGTGGTTTAATATTCCTTTTTTTAATAACTAATACTTAAAACAATATGTATAAGGTAAATGTTTTCTCCAATAAACATACAGTAGCAATTTTTCGGTAGATCTGAATGGAGCGACCGAATTCTTCTATAATATACCCCTGTCATAATGAATTTACAATGAATTTACCACTGCCGGTTGGTGTATTAGCCCATCGGGATTGAGACAGCTGTGAACTAGTCATAAAATAATATGGAGAAAACATTTCGTTAGCTAACTTTTCTCAAATAAAGGTCAATCATAAACATGATAAATTCAACAAAACTGTTAGTAATACAAACACGTGATAGAAATTTTAGAATTTTTTTAGTCAAAACAAAAAAAATACGTCAATGGTGGTCAACTAATTGACCTCGGATTTTTATTACTTTGTAACAACGATAACTACTCTTGTGATATTATTGTGTAAATATTATAGTAAATAGATACAAATACGTAAACAGTTATCAATTACATGGGTGAATAATATTTTCATGTACACACTTAATTAAATTTTAAATTTTCAAAATGCATTCCTGATAAAGTCCGAGATTATCTCTATCACATTTATCTTGCAACGTTTGCTTCTAAACTGCAGTAGGTACCAATTAATTTATTTAGTAACTATTCGCATTGATATTGTTACAATTTATGTATCATTCGTTCAATTTTAAAATTAGAAAATCAAAACTGCATTTTTAAATCTTTATTTTGGGAATTAATTTGCACGAAATCATTATCAAACGAAATACCTACTTTGAATCTTCGCTTATGGTTATTATGATTAGATATACACCCTAGACAAAAATTTTCAGTCTCTCTAAAGTCTCTCAGAGTCTTTCAGAGGCTTTCAGCGTCTCTGAGAGCATCTCTCATAGTCTTTCACAGTCTCTCAGTTATTGCCGAGGTGTTTTTATGGATCTCTCACAGTTTCTGTATAATAGACTCGAACGATAAAATTGTTAATTCAGAGATTCGAGTGTCTTACAGAGAGACTGAATGAATAAAACTGAAAAGTTGAGAGACTGGGAACTCTTAAATATGTTGAACTTAGAAAATTTCAATCATGTCTATCGAGACATCACTTATTGAGAGATTCAAGTCTCTCATTCAAAGACTGGATACGAAATGAGGATCTCTCTATGAGCGACTCGATGAGAGATGGAGAGTCGAGTCTCGCCTTCAGAGACTCTGAAAGAATGAACATTTTTATCTCGGGCAGTACAGAAGAATTGAGATCCACACATGGGGATATTCTATTACATGCAATCATCAAAGAGAAGCTTTATCTTTTGAAAAATACGCCATCTTTAAAACTTTTGAGGGGTCTACGCTTTACTCAAAAGATTTTGAAAGTTCTGTTACATTAGATCAGTTTTTATAGAAAAAGAGGACGATTGAAAAAACATATTCCACACATTCGCCAAATTATCATTTTTCGATCATGCGACAAAAAAGCTGACAAATAATGATAAAAAACTCAGCTGGTGTGGTAAAATTTTAAAACATAACATGAAACTCTAAAATCATAATTAATTAAACAAGTTTTCCAGTAAAATAATGAATAAATATTATTCAAAAAGTCCCCAAACCTATTTCTTTTGCAATCTTTTAGTTTAAACAAAAAATAAAACATGACTTGACCGAATGGTATGAAATTTCTTTGGATCATATTGTAAATACGTTTCAATCGGCACCTCAACGACGTCGACAGCATTTTTTTTTTCATGCGATATTGTGCAGAAAATGATGACTACACAGATCCGTACGTACAAATATGTATACATACACCCACACATAGACACAATTATTTCTCATTATACACTTTAAAATATTAATTAATATGAAAAAGTGGACTAATCAAATGAATTAATGATAAAATGTATACCTCTTGAGGATAAAAAGGTGCCTGCAGTGAAACACAAATAGCATTAAAAAAGTCTGCTATACTGAATGCAATTAATGTCAACCACTGCCTTTTTGTAAAACTTCTCATTTTATGTTTTTTTAAAGTTGTTTAAATTTATTCACAATTCTGCTTTGGAACCACAAACCGATGCTATTCACTATAACTTCAATATAAAAACTTCTATTTCTATGTACTTATCAATATAATCGAAAGGACGTTAGGCACTTTATCCCGACCACAACCACTAGACAATGTCACCCCGACAAATTCGATAATTCAGTGTTTATATATATTTATTTTATTACTCTAGATAACAGCATGTTAAATAATTGTTCTTAGTCCGTACACGTTCTCTGCTTAATACCAAATAAAGAAAAATTGTTGTGATATTAAAATAAGACCTTATCATATTCGAGAGAAATACTGATAGTTTATTGGCCTTTGAACATTTAGCGCGAAAATTAAAAGTCACCAGGGGCGGCACGTAAGTAATGACGACTATGCCAAATAATGTTGCACACCGGAACGTATTAGTTTCAGTATTTTTTTTTTTGATATTGCCATATAACATCTACACAAAGAAACACGTAATGAACACATTTTGTTTCTCTGGCTGCATAACTGATAACACATATCAGGAGTAATCGATGAGAACTAATTATAAAATAATAGAAATCTTATTTAATTCTCTATGGCATGCACACTCTAATTAATCGGAAGCACATTGAATATAAGTATGTATTTAATTAATTAATTGTTTCTCCAGAAAGTATTTGTGTTTTGTATATCTGCAGCTCTTATAGGCCAACCGCCACTGAAAATGACCAATCTAATCGTCTCGTTGTGACCTTTAAAGTTCAAGAATGTGAAAGTTCGCCGATGTGTAAGTGCCATCTTCGTTGATAAACCGCACAATTCCCAATGCGTTTTTTCTGGATTAAAGCAAAAACTTTGGTAGATTAACAATTTGGATGTAGCCACATCATTTTGGTTTTGTATCCAATGTGAACGATACTCATTATGGATATTTGGGAAATATTTACATAATTGTTTGATTAACCCATTTGATATGAACATATTGTGTCTGTACATATATAAATGTGAATATACAAGATTTGTTTACATTTTATACTTCCGATTTGTTCTAATTAAGCACTGGCTTTATCATATGTACAATTATTTATAGAGTTACTGTTATTAATGTTCATAAACTATATATTATTTGTTACTGTGACAAAACTTAATATATTATAATATCATTTTTAGATGTTGAACGGTTGGTAGACCTGAGGACTAGAACATTGTCCATTTGTTCAAAAAAGTTACTAAAACAATTGTGCTGTATATATGCTATAATATCATTAAAATATGCATTTATGTAACAAGTTATCATACTCAAGGAGTTTTTAATTTGTAGTCTTCTGTTCTATCTTAAAACAGAGTTATATGTAGTGGTCAATATAATTGAATCATAATCATAATAAATAAATATCCTATAAGTCCAAAGGAAAAACAAAATAAAAAGAAATGAATTTATTATTGCAGTTAAAAATTGTTTGATGATTTAACAAGATTATTACATTTTATCACACAATCATGCAGTTACTAGACAGTACTAATCTACTTTTTGTTCATAATAATGTCGTTCAATGGATAATACCATCTAATAATTCCTTTAAGATGAAAAATAGGTAAGCATTATGTTGATTAATTAGAATCTTATGAATAGTGACAAGAAGTTCTACTGGGTACTTAATACATAGTTGTAACAATATACATAAAAAATAGTAATGACGAATAAAAGTTTTATGAGAAACAATTAATTATCTAATTTATTCATTTACTATTGAGATTTGGATATCAAATAGGTATTCATACAAATAATTTTCCGTTCGCTTATTTTTTTTGAAATTTACGTTCATATTACACACATTCCTCAATGTTTCTACAAAAAAATAAGAAAACTAATTACAAGAACCTCCTTTTAACAGCAAACAAATTTGTATACACAAATACTTTTTGTATTACACGTAAAAATATAAAATACTCTTTGGATAGCTCGTTTAAACGCTTTAACTGGGTTGTGTGTCAGGCAACCAGACTTGCAATGGTACTTTTAAGAAAGCTGCATTGAGAAAGCTTTTAAAATGGGCGGATATACTCCTGGAAGCTGCTGGCTTCATTTCTGCAATGATTTCATGCCCATTCGTATTTAAAAATTGATTGATAGCAGCACCTAAAACAAACAGATATTGTATAAATTTTTTACTATAAGGTTAAAGTCTAAAAGCTACTAATATCGTCAATAAAGTATGCAACACTGATAAATTTACTTGTACATGTTAACTCAGAAAAGTAGTTAGCTTTCGTATTTAGTTTGACAGTGTTATATAGTAACCACTGGTACATAGTTAGTACATCTAAACTATTTATTTAAAACTACAAACTAGGAGCTAACCCCCACTACCTATCAGGTTAGTAGGTTAATTAAATTGTTTAAATAACGATATCAATTAGAATTGAAGACTCATAGGAAACGAGTAAGACAGGGTGGTGAGGCGGTTCACTCAACCTGTAATGGTTCTCTACCATTTTCTATGTTCCCCAAATATAATAAGGTAAGAAAAAATATTTATTAAGTAGTACTTATTTGTCAAATTATTACTTGTATTATTTTAAAATGAATATTTAAAATATTTTGGATTATCAAGTCAGAGTGCGTACCGCATTAATTATTTAACTTAGTTAGTAACTTTTCTTAGTTCTATGCATGTTATAACATATTGATTATATTCCATTTATTTTAATAAACTATATTTTTAAATTTAAGTTAGATTCCTGACCGTTACTATTATATTATGTAGTTTTTCCAGGGTGACGGTCAAATAATTACACAACCTTTTAAAATAATATAAGAATTTTTAAAATAATACAAGAAGACCTAGATTAAGTTACTGTTCACAAGTAGTTAGAGATATGAGATGTTCTAGTTCTAGTCTAGAAGTGGAGAATTGTGTCCAATTAATCTTTGTGAGTATTGAAAACTCTTGACAAGCATAGGTCTGAATTAATTAATTGTAAAAAGATATGAAGTACAGCGAAACGTCTAGAATTAAATCCACTGAACCACTGGAAATCCCAAAAGCCTTCAGGACGAATATAGATTCGAGCAATGAAAGGCTACATTCGATTAATACAAGACCAGTATTGACATTTGCTGTTCTCTTTTACAATATAATCAACTCATGTAAAATTAATTGACTTAGTACTAAATGCATCAGCTGAAGTCAATCAAAATTAATTTTTAAACTATTTCAGGAGTTTTCAGGAACTTTAATAGTAACAGTTATGAGTAATAATCTAACTGTTCGATCTTATTAATTAGATTTATCGGATTACTTACAATTAAAGTTAAACTAATACTACATGACAATCCCGTATACATTAAGCTATTTTAATTAAAGATAAATAAGACTGTGGTCACCTGCTTTTCTATACTTCCGCATAACATCAATCACAAATACGAAAATACCAATAAAATAAACAAATAAAATATTTTACCAAAAAAATTCCAAGCACTCTACTTAATGGTTTTGAGATCTCTATGGTGTCATCTAATCAAATAAACCGTACATGAGTTCATAGTGTGTTGTGTTATTGCAGGCGTTGATAAAAAGAAAGAAAAATGTTCATTGTAAAATATTTGTTTTAATTAAGTGTTTGAAGACGAAGACTTATCATTTTGTGACAATTAGTTTTTTTAATGAACCGACGATGAATTTACTTTATTTTTTTAAAACGCAGTTTTTTATTCAAATACAAAATCTGCCCCCTTGACTTGCTTATCTTCACGTTTGGTTGATATAATTTTATTACTATTGCCATAACCACCTTCGATAAATGACGAAAAATTATTTTTGCTTTTGAGGAATGATTTGTAACATTCCACTGGATTGCGTAAGTAGGTAGGCGCATCGCTAATCTACTCATAATAATAAAACACATTTTGGAAATATATAAAAAATTAACAAAACAATTGGTCTTTCATATTTAGTAAGACCAAGATCAAGACTAAGACTTAACTACGTCCTCATGGTCAAGACCAAGACTTGAACTAAATGAACAAGACTAAAAACAAGAGCAGGACTTATTAACAAGGTTTCTCGCAGAATTCTCAACTAAATTTTAATACAATTACAAAATAGAATGAAATAACTCGATGAATATTTTATGTAAGTAAACATAAACAAACTGTACTGTTACTAGAGATCTAGCTTTTTATTGCAACAATTCCCTTTTAACACAGTATTAAATAAAAATTGTTTAAAGAATTTTCTGAAATAAACTTAAAAACATTAAAAGATTTTTTCTATTAGAAATACACGAAGTGCGCCAAAAATTTTAATTTAATTTAACGGATCATACATTAAATATCATTTTGTATTTTTTTTAAATTGTTAGTTCAAGACTAACACCAGGACTACATTAGTACTGTCTTGCTCTTGAATTTTCTTATCATTAATCTCTAATTTCAAATAGCAAACGAAATCCGAGAAAATAAATCAAAATAATTCAAAGTACCTTCTAACCATAATGGTATATTTAAAGCTGCTTTTCTTACCTAATAAATTTCCCAAATTAATCAAATCTCTAATCTTGAACTTGCTTTTATCTAAATCAAAATCAATATTTAATTTTTCTATCCTCATGAATTTGAGTCCTTCCTTATTAACAACCTCCTTTCCATATATTTTCGCTGTTGCATTTACATCACCTAACAAAGAAGAGGAGAAATAAATAAAACTCCACCGTGATCTATTCAAATTTCTTACTAAATGCTGCCCAGAAGTCTCCAGCAGATCTAATGGGGAAAAGGAGTACTGTCCCCCCAACTTCATACTTTCCACTGACTTCTATTTCGGGTAACTTAAGGTCTACGTCCAAGATGTAGTTGTCCAAATCGGATCTAAAATACAACGTTCTTTAAAAAAGCGCAGTTTGTCAGGGTAGAGTACAAGTATTAGAATTTAAACATAATTCTGACGACCATTTAAAAAATATAACGTATGTAAGTATAAATGTTATGTACTCAATCAAGAAAATTGGGAAACTTTGCGATGTTGTAGAACAAAATGTAGCGACCACGAGCGTGATTGTGCGCGATCGAGCATACGTGTGTGTGAGCGGCTTATCGATTCACCGACTAGCCGCGGGCGCTTTTCTTCATGTGCACCGTATCTGTAAACGTGTGTGTCGTACCTGCGTTCCGAGAAAGTAATTAAAACGTTCAAAGAAAACGAGACTTCTCTGGACTGCTGTAGAACGTTCCCGAAAGGAGGCAAGGGAGTATAAAAAGGAAGAGACGATCGCCGAAGTAGAGTAGAAATAAATAGACCGTTGCAGTGGTGAATGAAGAGATAAATTGAAAGTTATAGAAGTGAAATAAATAGAACAGTGAATAGTAACAGTAGTGTAAATACAATAATTACCTAAGTTTAGTAATAAGTTAATAGTGTTTTCAAGTCCTTCAATAATAATTAGTGTGAATAAATAGTTTTCTTCTTAAAATTTAATTTGTTAAGCCCACGAACATTACGATAATAAATATTTGAAAACATCGCCAAAACAAAACTAAACCGAATTACTTTTTGGTAACAGAGTAATGAAGAGAACTATCGATCACTGAAGAAGATGTCATCTTTTAGCTCTTTGACGTTGTGTTTTGGATTATTTAGTGTTTTCTAATAGTACTTACTTAATCCTACCAACAGTGTAATTGCTTGGACCTTTGACTGTAACATTTTTAAATAAAGCTTTGATTTTAAACGGGCCATGTCCATTTTCCATTATAAGTCTCTGGATGAATAATGGATCGATTGCTGGTACATTTATTTCTTCCAAGCCATTTACCAAATACGGTCTTAAATGGTTAAATGTACCCTCTAAGCAATTATCTATATCCGGATCATGTCTGTAGCAAGGCAAAATATACTCGGCTGTAAAATTTAAAATGAAATTAAAATTACACTTCCGATATTCATTCATGAATGTTAGGTTTTATTCAAAAAAACCTATATGTATACATACACCATATTTTTAAAATACATTTTCGAAAAATAGTAAAATATTTTGTTTAACAGATAGCCAAATGCATTTAATAATGATTGCTATTTCTCTAAGAAGTTTTAATATGTAATCTATTTACAATAACGTGTTGACAATTCCAAAATTCGATAAAGCTTAAAAATTGTTTTGGGTATTTTTTTCGTACTAATGACTACAAATCGGCGCCAAAATATGCATAAAATTAATCAGCATTATGTAGCATTAGAAAACAGTTTCCAAATATGTCAAGGGTCAATGTAGATGTTATCTTAAATCGTATCTCAGAATTGCTTAATTTTGCAATTATTTTTTAACTGAATTGAATCTTTAGGTGCCGGTTGTTGACCTAAAAAAACAATATTCAACTCTTAAAGCTAAAAGGATGGTATATTACGGCATAAATTCTCAATAAGTGAAATAATCCACTTTTAATTCAATGTTTTCGTTTAAATTCTTGTTTTTTTTTTTTCAAAAATGCTCTATTGCCAGATTTCCCGGTAGGAAAATTATACAATCTTAAGTAATATAAGAATGAACAGAAAAGAAAGTCATTATCTTTTTCTGGTGTTTTCTGAAGATGTCCAATTAAGTTAAATTTAGATTTTGATTTAGATTGTGTGCGGAAAATGTACAATTTTCTGTTTTTTTACGTTATTATGAGGCATACTGAAAAGTCCTATTTCATCGCTTTACACTTCTACAATCTATAAAGGGATTAAATTTACAAAAGTAAATTGTATAAATATACATATTTATATTCTATACAACTTGATGAGATTTCTCATTAATTTTTCATTAAATTAATTTAATTCATACATCTATAAATATTGTTGATTTAAATTTCACATTCTTCATGATCATGTTTGCCTAAAACCCCAAATATTGCGCATTATTGTACGATTGCAAGTCATAAAGTCATAAACATGCATACAAATTATTTAACTTAATTATAAACCAATGCATGTCTTCTTAATTACCCAATATTGACTATTTGTGTCAGTACTCAAGAAATTTACATTGGAAGCCGAATGAAGGTCGATTTGAAATCAACCAATAACAGGAATTGTCGCAATACAAATAAATTTAATAAATAGTTGATTAATGCAAAATTATTATGAAATGCCAGGTAATGTCTGACGGTGGAAACGTTAACATTTTTGGTGTTAGCCAAGTAGAACTCGGAAATGTGTATTATTATTACATCCGAAACATCATAGCAATCTATCATGAAAAATCTTATACTATACAGCTAAACGTTGGTGCTGGTTTTTGATACACAGTTTACTGCCTCCTTCATTAATTAAATTCTTACATAAATACCCTCAAAATGAGAGGAAATTGGAATTCTTTTATCTCATACGCCAGATGCTTTATATTTCACGATAAAGCATATAAACAAGGAGTTCAGGGGGAACAGTTGCAGCTGAAATTGGACTAAATACTTGATTTTAGGAATGAATTTGACAAAACTGCTAATTTTAATTTAATTACAACTTAACCAGAACTGTACAGAGGAGGATGAAAAAAAGGGCAGAAAAACCATTAGTGAAAGATCAATTTGGGTTTAGAAGAAATAGAGGAATGCGAAAGGCCATTCCAGCTTTAGCAATAGAGAAAACGATAGAAAAAGGAAAGAAGAGTGATACTTAGTTTGTATAACGAGCAACAGGCAGTTATAGAGCTGGACTAGCAACGTAGAGAAGTAAATATTAAGAAGGGAGTCAGACAGGAATGCACATTGTTACCGCTGTTTTCTAATGTATACATCGAAGACTTGATCAACATCATTAAATGTAGTACAACTGTAGGGGTAGATATTCAAAGGCCAAAGATTAGTATTCTTAGAATTGTAGATAATATAACAATATTAGCATCTAGGTAGGAGAAGTTGGAGGTATCTTTAAATAAATAGGAAGGGGTATTGACAAGACAGATGTAATAATAAATAAAAGTAAAAGAAAAATACTGGTATGCAAGGGAAGAAAAAGTAGGGAAAAGCGAATATAAAGATAGGAGACAGAGAAAAATTAAAAGAAGTGGCTGATTTTAGGTATCTTGGAACTCAGATAAATCAGGAAGGAAGGAGTAGCAGAGATATAAAGCAGAGAATAACGCAGGATCGAGTCGCCTTCAATAAAAAGAAGTCACTTCTATGCTCGTGAACGGTTAATTTAGAAACTGGAAAAAGATTGTTAAAAGTGTATATTTGGAGCGCGGCGCTGTACGGGTGAGAAAAATGGACGGTGGGCGCTGCGGAAAAGGTTAGAAGCGTTCGAAATGTGGTGTCATAGACCAGGGATGGCGAACCTTTTTTGATGTCCGTGCCACAAAGTCATAAAAATTCTTTTTTAAATAGGTAACGTGCCACAATAAAATTTCATTCGAAATGTTAGCGCGGTGAAACTATACGTAAGTATAATTAAATAAACAAATAAAATATTTTACCAAAAAAATTCCAAGCACTCTACTTAATGGTTTTGAGATCTCTATGGTGTCATCTAATCAAATAAACCGTACATGAGTTCATAGTGTGTTGTGTTATTGCAGGCGTTGATAAAAAGAAAGAAAAATGTTCATTGTAAAATATTTGTTTTAATTAAGTGTTTGAAGACGAAGACTTATCATTTTGTGACAATTAGTTTTTTTAATGAACCGACGATGAATTTACTTTATTTTTTTAAAACGCAGTTTTTTATTCAAATACAAAATCTGCCCCCTTGACTTGCTTATCTTCACGTTTGGTTGATATAATTTTATTACTATTGCCATAACCACCTTCGATAAATGACGAAAAATTATTTTTGCTTTTGAGGAATGATTTGTAACATTCCACTGGATTGCGTAAGTAGGTAGGCGCATCGCTAATCTACTCATAATAATAAAACACATTTTGGAAATATATAAAAAATTAACAAAACAATTGGTCTTTCATATTTAGTAAGACCAAGATCAAGACTAAGACTTAACTACGTCCTCATGGTCAAGACCAAGACTTGAACTAAATGAACAAGACTAAAAACAAGAGCAGGACTTATTAACAAGGTTTCTCGCAGAATTCTCAACTAAATTTTAATACAATTACAAAATAGAATGAAATAACTCGATGAATATTTTATGTAAGTAAACATAAACAAACTGTACTGTTACTAGAGATCTAGCTTTTTATTGCAACAATTCCCTTTTAACACAGTATTAAATAAAAATTGTTTAAAGAATTTTCTGAAATAAACTTAAAAACATTAAAAGATTTTTTCTATTAGAAATACACGAAGTGCGCCAAAAATTTTAATTTAATTTAACGGATCATACATTAAATATCATTTTGTATTTTTTTTAAATTGTTAGTTCAAGACTAACACCAGGACTACATTAGTACTGTCTTGCTCTTGAATTTTCTTATCATTAATCTCTAATTTCAAATA